ATCAGATCATTCTCTATGGTCCTAACAGAGCACTTCGCTCTCAATCTGCAGGTTTACTAGTGGTTCCTAGAATTTCTAAAAGTAGAATGGGAGGCAGATCTTTTAGTTATCAGGCTCCTCTCCTGTGGAACCAACTACCAGCTTTAGTCCGTGAGGCAGACACCCTGTCTACTTTTAAGGCTAGGCTTAAGACTTTCCTTTTTGATAAAGCTTATAGTTAGAGTGGCTCAGGTTATCCTGAGCTATCTCTATAGTTATGCTGCTATATGTTTAGACTGCTGGAGGACATAGGGACCTCCATTTCATCATTCTGCTTCATTATCTCTCTGTTCTCCTATTCTGCAGAATCTGTTAGTTCAATCTCTAACATTCTACTCTCTCTGCTTTTTCTTATAGTAGCTTTGCCTCTTCTGTTCCTGTTTGGCTGTGACTCCATCCTGGAGAGAAATATCAGCTGTGCCGCTGCCATCAACACTGGTTTTCCTTAGATAGAAAACTTTGAATCAATTTAACTGTATGATCTGGTGAACTGTAAAGCGCCTTGAGATGACGTGTTGTGAATTGGCGCTATATAAATAAACTGACTTTAATTGAATGGCCTAGTCAAAGCTCAGGCATATTTCTAATTGTGCAACAAGACTTAAATACTGGCATTCACACATACCATCCATCTAAAAGAAGAGTTTGAGCTCTTTGGCAAAAAGGTAAAGGAAACTTCAGTCTATAAATCCGCTATGCTAGAGGAGACATACTTCAGAAGAATGACAGCTGTAGTTTAGATAATAGTGGCTTCATACAAAGCATGTAATACTTTTTAGACTTTCCACTGCAAAAAAAATAATAAAGGAAAAAATGTATGATCTAATCTTAAAGTTCACAATTATGTGTCAATGTTTTAGCCAATATTTCCAAATAAATCACAGCAAAGTTTGTGGTTGTATTGTGATAAAAAGTGGGAAAAGTTCATAGTTTTTCCAGAAGAAGGCTGATCTGTAACCTCTGGATGTTTAGATGAGATTTTACCTGCTCATTGACAGTGAGTGGGGCATCTTTGGCAGGAAGATGCTGGGGGTTCATGGCTCGCTGCACCACCTCAGACAAAGTCTTTCTGACATTCAAGATAAAAAAAAAATACTAATTATAAAAATATCGCATAACTTTAAAATTATTATGCATTTAAAAATGCAGAAACTCCCCACATTTGGCCTCATTTGCACCCTGTTTTAATTAGAAAAACCGAGATGTGATCTGTTATTGCTGACCAATTTAGTCACAGTAGACGCAGCCTATTTAAAGGGGCCTGCATGTATAAACAGGCCATATTGTGTTGCATAAAAGCTGCAGATAAACAGGATCAAACACGGAGAAAATACCCACGAAGTGATTAGAAATTCATAGCAGACTCCAAAAAGGCTACAAATGGTGCGTCTCTTGCAGCAAAGCCCCCATGGGGGGGTGAGGATCTGTCAGAAAACTTCAGCCGCTGTTGATGAGCACCCCACCCCCATCCTGACCAATAAAAGACACTTTTTTTTAAGGACTAGCTCCATTCACAGCCCACGGAAATCCTGTCAAGACGCGCCGAGAGACCCGATTTTATGCCTTTCCCTCTCTTTATCATAAATATATAAATTATGCTAATTAAGAGCATTGCATATTAACCAAAAGTCATTTCCTCTCGCCATTTCGCTGCTCCGCGCCAGCAGCCAGCTTGATCACAGTGCGGTTATTTTATGCAACTTACCGCGGAAACGCAGCTTACTTTCCGTAATCCGCCGCTCTGTCACAGTTTGTTTCAGTCACACATCATTAGAAATTCATCTCAGCTCCCAGACAGGCGCTGTGACTGCACACAAAAGACAGCTATTTGCATTGATAAGAAGGGCTGCAACGTTAGGATCTCCTCTGCCTTAATATTTAATGACGGTGGCCTTTCTGCCACAGTTCACACCATCAGGAAATCCTCCAGGTGTCTCCCGGAATCCCCCCCTAAGGCTTTAAACTCGGACAAAATTGTCCCAAATGTGTCCTTTTGCACTACGTCATGAACATAATTTATGCAAGAAAAAAATCTTGCATTGAAAAATGTCTGCCTCGACTTCAGCGGTGCCATGGTTCTCTTAAAGGGGACGTACCCCGCATAAAAAGGCGAGCTGAGTTTCTGACGCGCTGGGATAAATATTTAGGGGAGAATCTTAGAGTGATACATCTTCAGCATTCAAGTATTTTTCATTTACAATTATGTTGGAATTTTATATAGACCTTCCACTATTATGTATGCACTTCCCTATAAATGTACATACAGATGCATTAGTCAGTAATTGGCAATATTAATCATGTTGCACCAAATAAATATTTGGAACTATCCTAAAATGTGTCTTTTAAATGCCAATTTAAATAGTCTCTCTTTTGATTAAATGGTTTATTTCCTGGTACCACTGGTCAAAAGGTAAATATAAGTATATAAAACTTCTGTGCATCCTGATTTATTTTTTATTTATTAGTTTATTCGATGCATTATTTGATGCATTTATCTGTTTACCATGTAAACTGCATTTAACATACAGGATAAGAAAAGACAGATACAGAAAGAACATTGGTGCTGAGCTAATTTAACATGTGAAAAATATAAATGGAACATGTAATAAATGCTATAATTAAATAATAATAAATGCAACCTGAGCATTGTGTCATGCTGCATTGCTCAGTAAGTTATTAAGTCCAGCTTATGTACAAAAATTTAATTATCTTAAATATCATAGGATGTTTTTTAACTGCAGATTATTCATATAAGTCATTTTCATGATTTTTTGCATTGCCAGTTTTTTTCATTGAACTGTATCTAAAGAATCTTTGCCTACAGTATTTTGTGCCAGTTTGATCTTCTAGATTTCTTTAACTTTTTTTTTAATATAAACTTTTGAAGGGAATATTTACAGCCTACAAAAAATAGAAAAAACAACACATTTTTCCTTGCTATTCTATCACATTTCTGTTGAATCTTTATCCATTACCCACATCGCAAAAGATGATATTGCAAAAAAAATCTATCCAATAATCTCCTGCCATTTATCCATTAGTGTCATAGGGGGGTTGGTGCCCATCTCCAACAGTCTATGGATGAAAGGCAGGGTCCAACCTGGAAAGGTGGCCAATATAGACAGAAGCAGATTTATCTTATATTTAGTTTGGTAATAAAGTACTCGGGTTCATAGTGATCACAGAAAGATGCAATTCTGTTTTTGTTTTTTGTTTTTTAATCTGCATTTTAATCATTTGTAAGTAATAATAGGCAAATAGTTGTGCCAAAGAAATGAAACACAAAACACCTAACAAACCATCGAATCAAACAAATAAAAGCCCAATTAACTTACAGAGGGCGGCAAGAACCACTAATTTAGTGAAATAGACAAACAGACTGTAGTTTCCATCATCCAGAATCAGTCACTGGAGTCAGCAGTTAAAAAAATGGAGGTGCATGAATGAGCACAGAAGCTCTCAGATCACAGCGAATTGCCTTTAATGCAGGGCTCATAGGTGCAGCTCATCCAAGTAATCAGAGGAGAACCAATGTCAATGAAGAACCCCATAATTAAAGCTGATCTGGCAACTGACAGAGGAAAAAACAAGGTTAGAGTGCGTTCGTGTAACACCCCTTAAAATACAAATAAACTTTTTCTTATTTAAAAGGGCAACATATTTTTTAATAGTAAATATTCAACAAAAATGCTGGGTCACATTTTATCAAAAGCTAATGTTTTATATAGCTGGACTGTGGGAAAAGTGGCTCTCTGGATTTTAAAGGTTGCAGACTTGTGCTCTAGAATCTCTAGAGGTGATTTTACACAGACAAATTATTCCTAAAATGAAGAGCATTGCAGAAAACCCTGAGCATCCTCTTTATCAGATTGTCATACAGAAACACAGTGTTTTAAATTATAGGCTTCTCCAGAGGCGCTGCCTGCCTACATCTACAACTTACAAAAACACTTATCTTTGGGGTTGATTACGCATTTTTTAGTTGAATACATTTTTTATACCCTGTTGAATTGTTCATTTATCCACTTTTCCCTTATTTTTTTACTTTACAGGCTTGTATTTTTCTTGGTTTTATTTTTTGTTTTAACACTTTCCCACTTCCACCAGAGGGGGGCGCAGGCGTGCGACCGAACCGTGCGTGCGTGCCGCCGCAGATAAAGAACGGGTGACGTAACCACTTCCACAACAACAGGAAGAAACAAGGAAGTGTCAATCCGAAACCTGTAACAAGGCCGAGACAAGATACGCAGAGCTCCGTAAAAGCTGATGTCCCCCAGCCTCCGAATCAATCCACAACAATGAATAACAAAGGTATTTGACCGCAGCGTGTTCAGTTTGTCAGCTAACTGCGCGGCGGTCGACGCTGCCGTTGGAAGTAGAGCCGAACGGGCTGTCGTTATCTAAAGCGGACTTCACGTACATAACAATAAACTGACGCCGTATGAGAAGCTCACTTACTGAATCCAAAGGCGTCTGAAAAACTGTCATACCTACATTATTTATTTTCGTAATGTTCTTGATTTAATTCCCACCGGGTCGTGTTTGGTTTTTAGCTACAGTCCTTTATAAAGGCAAAGCTGCCATAACTGGTCTGTTTTGGTTCGCTGTTGTGTTTTTGACATGGAAGTGTCCTTCTGTTCCGGTCAATCTGATGGAATGTTTTAGTTTATACCGCCTTTCACTGCAGCCATCCCACGGTCTCTACCTGCTTTAAACGTTTAGTTGATAATTTTACATTATAAGGAAGGTTAAACAGGTTACATCCTTAAACAAAGGGCTGGTGTTTTGTTTTTGCTTTCACATTAAATTAAGCGTCTTCTGTCCTACAGTTTCGATTTATCGGAAATCAAGAACAAAGAATCAAATATTTTAATCTGTTATCTATTTAATAGATTTTTTAAATGCTATTTTTATTAATTTAACATCACAGGTTTCTGTTTGCATTAGAAGTGAATTGAAGTCAATAAACAGATAAATGGTCTCCATACCTTCTAAAATGCATTGACTAAAATAAATGGTGATGATTATTTAATATTAGCAATATGAATACATTATGTAAAGCAACAATAAAATGGATAGAAAGTTGTAGTTTGCTTTTCATATAATTATATTCACTATTTGATTTTAATGTGTTTCTGTACTTTTATATTTATGCTACTTGTTTTTTTTTTTTTTTGCTATATTTAATCCAATTAAAGAGTTTAACCTCTTCACTTAATAATTTTTTTCCTCATAAAACCCTGGTGGTTTGATTTGGCTGAAATAAACAGCGAAATTGAACCTTAATGTCATATTTAGTCACTGCTTTAAATAATTTATCGCTAAGGTTTGATATTCTCATGATCTAATAACACACTAGTGTATACGATCTAAATGAAATTATTTAAAATCTTAAGCCAAATAAAAAATACATAATGCTGCCAAATTAAAGTCGCATTGCATAAAACAAATCTAATAGCATGAAACGATTAATCATGATGAATGATTTTTAAAATATTTGTCAAGTTGTTATATAACTGAATCAAATTGTACCTAGAGTAAAGGTACAGACTCTTAAAAAATGCCATTTGCTGAAAGAATACTTAACTTATAGCAGCCATTAAGACAAAAACATCTAAACATTTTCCATTTATTATTCAGTCTTTTTATTATAAATATATCATAACATTTATTTCTCTGTGTATTTTATATTTTTTCATGTTTTTGCCATTTACAATTCATGTAAATGTGCAATAAAACCCATTTTTCTACATTCCAAATGTTTATTTATTAATGAAAGTATTTCTTTTTAAATTAATTGAAAGAATAATCAATAGATTAAAAGATTAATAAAGAATGGATTGCTGCTGCCCTACACAGGACGATATATTCCCTATTCCATTGTTTCTAAAATAACATGCATATAACAAGCAGATAGTAGTTGGTTGGTTAGTTTGTTCTAGTAGTGAGGCTGTAGTAGCCTGGTTAGCTGATTATCAGCTTTAGCTAGTGGCCTAAAGAACAAGTCAGGTTGTGGCATAACTTTATTAATTTATTGATTTTCTAATTGATTTTGATCTTGTGGGTGTATATGTCTGTTATCAAGTGTTAGTTGTATAATTTCTTAATACTACTTCACTTTGAAGGTCATTTTTGTTCAGTTTGTCCTGACCTTCAATTTCCAAAGGGAAATTAAACATTGATGTTGCAGCTAAACAAATATTTGAGTTTTAATAGCGTTTTATTTCCCTTAGGGATTAAAAGCGTACCTTTGAATTGAAAGCTGATTTTAAGTTTCTTATCAAAAAATTGTGCCAAGAAACACACGTGTGAAGTCAGAACTAAAATTAATTCAAATAGCATGAAAGCAAAGTAGTATAAATAAGTAATGTGGGCATTTTCTGTTAGTCCTCTGAGTTTAACTAGTTTTTTGTGTGTTGTTTTGCAGGTTCATATCCACAGCAGTCTGTGTACCCTCAACAGAGTACTGGACCTGTATACCCTCCTGCTATGCAAATGTCTCCTCAGGCACCTCCTTACACAGACACCCCCCCTGCATATTCTGAGGTAATTGGTGCCTTTTGAAGCTGAAGAAGGAAAAAAAACTAATTTAAATTTATTTTCTAAGTGTTGATTTTTATGTTCCATCTGTGTTTGTGTGCAGATATACCAGCCCAGATATGTGCTTCCACCTCAGGTGCCTGGTCAGGTGCCCCAGATGTCCTCTCCCTACCCTGGCCATCAGGTCTACATGCCAATGCAGCCCCACATGCAAGTAAGTCATATGGGCCAGAATGTTCCCATGGCTTACTACCCTATGGGAGCCGTTTACCCACCTGGATCAACCATGATGGTGGAAGGAGGCTTTGATGCTGGAACCCGTTTCACAGCCGGCAGCAGCGTTTCCATCCCTGTGAGTGTTCATATATGTTGTCCCCTTTTTTAGACGTTATCCATGCTGGTCGACTGTCTACCTGACCCTGTTCTTCTTCTTCTAGCCCCCACCTCCTGGACACCCCCCTAACGCGGCTCAGCTGGCTGCCATGCAGGGCGCCAATGTTGTCATGACGCAGCGCAAGAATAACTTCTTCCTGGGTGGATCCAGTGGTGGTTATACCATCTGGTAACAACAGCTAACAGCTACTGCCCTCCCGGTTCATACCTAAGCCGTGCCCCCATCCCAGATGATTCCCCAGTTCCTTCTTTATTCCATACGCCTTCCTCTTCAGGCTGCTTGGCCATGCCACAATACTGATATCACCTAACGGAATGTAATATTTTAGAGCCCTTGTTAAAGGTACAGTACTCCACTTCTGACCTACAGATTAAATGATAATTCTCACTGCCTGAGAGGAAAAAAAACTACAGATTTTAAATGCAAATCTCTCCATAATTATTTACTGGATCAAAATTCTTTGGTTGCCCCAGATTGGACTGTTTGATTATTATTTTTTTTTTTTTTTCAGGCTTCTGTTTCTGCTCAGGAGAGATATTCTCCTTTAATCCAATGGTCACAAATGAGACTGAGATATTCATGTATTCCTGTACAACTACTTAGCTGAAATGTTAAAATAACAGACCTACATTATATAGTTTAGCTGCTTTATGGTGAAAGTAAAACGCAAACAAAGTTAAAAAGTCGCAAAGCGCAAACTAAAAGAAATCTCCACTTGTTGTTTTTAAAAACTCTCTAGTGTAGTTGAATTATTAGGAGTGTACTAGTTTTGTGTAAATACCAGTATGATGGTCAGGGAATGTTAACTCTGCTATATATCTAGAAAAAAAAGAACCAGCATCCTAGATGCATTTAGTTAGATTTGTCTTGTCTTTTTGCACAGTATCAAAAAAAAAACACAATAAATTTGTTGCACAATGAACTGTCTGGGAGATTGTTCCATTTCAATCAGTTGTAAATTAAATAAATTTAATTTAAAGCAAAAAAAAAAAAAATGTCTTTAAGTAAAGAGTTAATGCAATATCTTAAGTGGTTTACTGTACCTTGTTGGGCAACTTGTAGATGAACATAGTCGAGTGCCAAAAAGAGCACCGGGGGTTTACCCTGAAGCGAAGCAACTTAACTTCAGTAAACTTAAAGGAAAGAAATTTAAAGTAAATCCAAATAGTAAGACAAATAGAAAGGAGTGGTTGGTGTAACATTTTTAGCTTTTTATGTATCCCGTTTCTATTCCACTGTCGGATACCCAGAGTTTATCACTGCGCATTTATTATTCAGATTTACAGAGTTATGCTTTTGGGGTTTTTTGATTTTTGTTTACACATTTAATTATATATATAGAAATATATATATTAAAAACGAATTAATTTTAGAAGATTGTAACCATCTCGTAAGAATTCATTTATTGTTTCAGTTAGTTTTTTCTTTAATATCATGAGTGAGTTAGACGAGCAGTTAGGGTAATAAACACATTTGACAGTATAACCAATGAGCTGGTTGTACCAAAGATCTAGCAGACAATGCATTTATAATAAATTGTGACTTTAAATTTTAATCGTCACAGTTTAAAAAAAATTAAATAAAAGCAGAATATCTTTGAACATGAAGTTGTGCCACCATTGGCCTTTAGAGCCTTCAGTCTGCCATGACTATAGTTTTTTTTTTTAGTTTTTTCTTTCTTTTAGTGTCTTTTTGTTTGGGTCACCTGCATCTTTGAGTTGCTGCATACTTTGCACCTTTTTGCTAATGTACTTTTTATCTGAAATGCACTGCTAAGTAAAACTGAGGAGTTGCAGAAACAAAAGGGGCTAATCTCTTTACATTCTGTTTTCATGACTTTTTAAATTGAAAAAAAAAAAAAAGCTGTGACAATTTTTCTTTCAACAGTTTTGAGTCCATTTTTATTCCTTAAAAAATCTATGTAAAGATGTGCCATGTTGTTGCAAAGCCTGGGAGTGTATGCAACGAGGCTACATGACTGTCAGCATGTTTATTTTGGTCATTTTTTTTATGCTTTCAAGCATCTTTGGAGTCAATCAGAAATAAAGTATTTGAAGCTAGACATGTTGTCTCTATGGATGCCACAAAATTAATATTTGTAAGCATTTATCATTGTGGTGTGAATGAGTGTCTCTGGGTATCCGACACAATATAAAGTTTTAATAGCTGTGGCTAATTTACGCAACGTAAATATTAGTAAAATCCTGCATCGTCGCTCTGGAAATCTGCTTTATTGTTTCGATGTGACGGAGAAACCTCTTCTGCACTCGCCTCAATTCAAATTTTAAAAACCCTGCCATTATTTCAGGCAGCTTAGCTTAAAAAGAAAAAGACCACAGCGATCAAAACTTTAAAGCTGTAACTCCATCCTGATGTATTCTCCTTTTTTTCCATCTCTGCTTCTATTGTAAAGCAGCATAATAGTGGCTTCATTCCAGCAATATGAAGTGCTGTAAACTTTGAGCTGAACAGTAGATGCTATGCCAACCACAGCCAGCAAACGGGACGTTTTTTGTTGAAGGATTATGGACATTTATAGTTCAGGGATTCTCTTTACAATATTTTGTAAAATAGGTGTATGTACTAAAGTGATGTGGCATACTTTGGTACACATTCTATCTTTTAAGATTACTAAAGGAGATGAGTGTCACTACAGTTGGCTGAGACATGTTGAAGGTGAAATACATTGAAAAAAAAAAAAAAGAACTTAGGTGCACTTAACTTTTTTATACTAAACTTAAAATTTAAAATGTAAGTTTAGAATAAAGGTTATTTTGGAAATTTGAAATGTGGTAAGTTTGTTCTTGTATGCATTGTGCAGTCTTTTAGTAGAATAGTAAAAAACTTTCTTATGTTAACGAGTAACATCTGAGGATTTTCTTCATTATTTGTGGTTTTGTGATGTTTTTTTTGCCAATGAAATTAAAAGTTAAGCGACACTGTAACCTTTAGCCACTAGGGGCGCTAGAACTGTAACTTCAAAGTTTAGCTCCTTTAAAGGCCGCTGGCTACTCTGCATCTTTGTCTATAGGGCCCAATCCCAAAGAGGCCCCTAAGCACTAACTCTTCATCTGTCCGTTCCCTCAGAGGGTCCGCCATATTAAGGACCATCCTGAACCCTGTAGTGGGTAGAGCCAGTGGACCATTGAGCCCTTAAATAGCTAATCTGCATCAGTTCAGGCTCACTGGAATTTGGCAGCAGGTGTAAGGGTGAACTAACTAAAGGAAACACATGCATTCAACAATAACAAGTTAGGAAAAAGACAAAAACAAGTCACTGATCCTTAAAGGGGAGGTCCTCTTTCAAATAGTTTTACTTGACTGTATATATTTATTTTTTCAAGCTTTAATCCTACATCAGAGAAGCAAAAATATGTCTGATGAGGTGAGTTTTACAGCAGTTTGGTTAACTAACAACAACCTTTAGCTTGTGTAAAAAGTGGAGGAGCAGACTGTCGTAAAGCAGCGCTCTGGCTCACATGACTCATTCAGTGACAGATCCGACCCTCTTAACCTACTTAGGAGAGTGTTTGAGAACGAGAGCCCACATCAAACAATCAATGCTCACCAAGAACTGTATATTAAATTCTATTTCTTTACCATATTTAAAAATAAGAAAATACTTCCCCCTAAAATGTACACAATGTTCCGTTACTAAACATGCTTCCTGTTTTAATAAAAAGGGGAAAAAAATCAATCTTTGTAAAGCAGAGCACATTTATATAAACCCAATATTTGGAAAATGATATTTTAAAAGCAGGTACATGCCTCATTCACCTGTAAAATATTTAGATGAATATACTTGCCTCCCAACTTGAAAGCCCTTGAGCATTTGGTAAATTTGTGTCCTGTGGCTTAAATCTGGCCATCAAGAGTTAAAAAATGTCAGAAAATAGAGGTCTATCTTATTTTAAAGTGGTTAAACTGAATAATAAATAGCAGCAAAGTTGTAATGGCAGAACAATGTGCTCTCTATTAATGAACCAATGAAATCAAGTGTTTATTTGGACAGCTTCAACCGGCCTTTTAAGAGACTTGATGCCAAGGTGATCTGATATAAAAGTCGGTTTGACACTCCAGCTCTAGAACATAAAGTCGCGAGTCTTTCTTAGCATCTTGCAGGTTTTATTTCAGGATTTCGTGAATCCCCTGAAGAGGAGTGTCTCCGCTGCATGAAGCTGCCACTACCATGTATCCCCCTGGAAACAGTGTGTTCATGATCATCCACTGAGTTAGTTTTCCTCCTCTGAGTGTTTCCTAGGCTCATCTTGTGACCTTGGCTCCATTTATTTCTCATGATTTTAATGTTGTTTATGGTGTATTTTATTTTGAAAATCTTTTACCTTCATAAATGCAAATGCTTTCTTCTTTTACACCTCTTTCCAGCACAGATACACACATCTGTGGTTTATTTCAACTGAAGTTATATTAACATAGTTAAACCAGGATGTTTTATCACCTGATGACACATGGCTGGGTAACACTGCTGCCTTGCAACAAGAAGGTTTCGGGTTGGATTCTTGGCCCGGGGTCTTTCTGCATGGAATCTTACAGTCCAAAAGGACGTCTGTTAGGTTAATTGGCTTCTCTAAATTCTCCTTAGGTGTGAGAGCGTTTGCGTGAATGGTTGTTTGTCCTGCTTGTCTCTGTGTTGCCCTGCGATGGACCGGCGACCTGTCCAGGATGTATCTCGCCCGCAGTCAGCAGGAGATAGGCATCAGCACCTCTCGCGACCCCAGCTGGGATAAAATGTGACTTGAACATGTATGGATGGACACAATTCTTGTCCCGCCGCACCAATGGAAAAGAAACAAAATTAGCAGCCTTAATCACTTATTTGCACATGATCTACATGTCCATTTATACATAGACAGGTTAACACACCTTTAAGCTTAAGTTGGGCTGAAGTTTGTACAAGATAAAAAACTTAAACCCAATAATGCATGTTGGAACAGAGACAAAAAAAAAAACTTCCAGTAACAGTGTTTACTGTTTACTGCATTTTCACTTGACCTCCAAATGCGAAAACAAGCTCAACGATGAAGCTTGTTTAACATCCAGACATCTGGGTCATTTTTGATAACCTATTTGTTCCTCGTTAAATCAAGTAACTAGAGTTAAAAAGCCAGAAATTGTACTCAGTTAAGAGCAGTGTTACAAAAATGGTTAAGAAAGGTAAACTAGGTTCCAGTTACAATTACTCATGTAAATGTAACTGGTATCTACTCATGGCGTCAGGGCAGGAAAAGCTAAAAGAAAATATGAGGAGGAACAGAGAAAATTTAAATTTATATGGAAGGAATTGTGTATTTTATATGACACAAATAAGAAACACATCTGCTTGCTATGCCAATCACATTATAGAGTTCAAATCTACAGCCCCATTTCTTACAGCTTGGTTCAAAGGCAAGAAAGGTTGGGATCTGAGGTCATATTTTGGTTAAAGCACTTTTTATGCCAAGAAATAAGATAGATTAACATGAAAATATATAAAAAATGTTGGCTTTTGCCGTAAAATATTTTTTATTAAAAATGTGGGATTCTCTTAACTGCTGCTTCCATTTTTTTGGTTTATGATGCTGAACCGGTCGGTCGACACACTTTAAAGTTTCTAATTAACACAGCCTTTATTCAAACATTTTCATCCAATATTTCTAGCACTAGTTCCACCTTTAAAATGTGGTGTTCCCCTCTCTGGCTGTTAAATGCAACACCGGCCCAAAGAAGAGTCTACCGGTGTTAGTGATCTGTTTACTGTGTTTCTGGCCTTTGACAACATAACAATATCCACAAAAACTGATGAGGGCAACAGTCTCTCGTTTTTGTACAACCTACATGACTCCATTCATCAGTTCACATTGTCAATAGAGATCACAGCTGCCATATTGTCTTTAGACCTATATACTCACTAGGTTATTAATTGGTGTGAATCGTCTCGTTGAGCATTTTTAATCCAGCCATTTTAAGCAAGGGAAACCTACATTACAACTAGGGCTGGGTGTTTTCGCCAAAGTCCTGAATC